ATCATATAGCTGCCATAGGAACGATCGGAAAATTAATGGGAAAGTTACACAGAAATAAATTTTAGCTTTTTTGGTTTTTATTGTATTCTCTTCTACTTTAGAACATGACTCTTTTTAAATATTTCCGAATTTCAATTTTCATTTTATCAAAATCGGACGACTATATCATATAGCTGCCATAGGAACGATCGGAAAATTAATGAGAAATATTAGAAAATTGAACATTTTTGCGATTTGTTAATTAATAGGAATGATCTGCAAGGGTATACAAGCTTCGGCTGGCCGAAGCTAGCTTTCTTTCTTGTTTAGGTTTGAAATTTAGTGTTAAATTTTGTTGAATTTTTTTTATTTTTAGCGTGAATAAAAATTATGGTAAAATAAGTTCACTGATATTTTATGAATGAGATTTTATACTAAAATACTCCATAGCGATAAATGTGTAAAAATGGTCTTAAAAATTCAAAAATGTAACTATAAAAATTAAGTAATTAAACTGCAAAATTTTGATTGTCAATTAAACCCAGGAACATAAAAACTATTATATTTTTAGTTTAACTTTTGTAGCCCCGTGTAAAAGTTAAGGCCCATCTGTGCTGGCAGCATTCCAGACAAGTTGTCAACACACGATTGTGAGTCAGGCAAAAGTCTTTATGGCATTTCCATAATGCACGGGGAAGTGGGATTGGGACTGGCAATGCCAATGCAAATCTCGCATTCGAAAAGACCTCACACGAAAACAATGAATTATTGCACAATATATATACCTAGCTATCATTAACAGAGCCCTAACGGAAATGTGCCACCAAGGTTTGTCCCGAAGGCGTGCGATGTCGCCTCGCCTTAAACTCCCCGACGCATTCATCAATAAGTCACTCTATAACTTACCCAATTGATTAACGGTGCGGTACTCTCTACGTTCATTCAACTATAGATTTTTCAAATGTGTGGGTCTCTGAGTGTAGGTCGTTCCAATGCAATAGTAATACTGAAAATAAACCAGAACCTCGCTACGTGACTGCAATGTAAACAAATGGAGAGCCCCAATTAAACGTAAAATATTACAATAAAATCAAAGAAAAGGGAAAAAGAAAAAAGAAATAGTGTAGAAAATCGATAAGTGAGTGCCGTCTTTAAGCAACCGAAACTGATTTGCGTATTGGGAAATTTATGCTGGCTAAATGTCAAAAGGCAAGTGCCAGAAAATGTGCAAACTTACCATTTGGTTTGCAATTGAAATTACCGCTTTTGAACGCTCGAGCGAAACAGAAATGAAAATGGGCGAAAATGTAAATGTTGCGTTTACTGGCGATTCAAGCGATTAACAGAGTGCATTGACTGGCCGAAAAATCTGGCATAAATCCAGGGAAAATCCTAATAAATTTTGTTCACTTTCATCGGAGGGTCTAGAGTCAGAGTCTAGACCTTCAATGACGTTGCACTTGCCGTGGAAATCTGCCCACGTTTAGCTCTCGCCGCCCATGTTAGGAGCCAAATTGTTGACACAGTTCGAACGGCCGCACAATTTATGCATTTTAAATGTTAATTAAAGCCGGCACACTGGGCCCAAGCCCGAGCCACTGCATCCATATGATATCCATTCATAAATTTAACTAAATGCAAGCGGCCTTTGTTGCGGCTTTTCTATTTTTCTGTAGTCGCGTTACGCATAATTAAGCGGGCGGCGAGCTGTCTGAACAAAGGCCCAAAAAAGAAGAAAAAATACTCAAACTAAATAAAAACCAATTGACCCACTATGGCAGCTGAGAGGTATCCAATGGATAGGCGCAACTTTGTGGCTAAACATTGCACTCAAGTAAAAATATTAGACAGCGAAAAATCTTAAATTTCCAGCTGCCCGTTAAGGTGTTAAAAAACGTTGGGCAAACAATGCGAAAAGATACAAACAAATGCAAATACCCCACCAATTCGATGCTAACAAATAGGATTTGCATAAGGCATGCGCAAATATATTACCTCATTGTCTTTTGATTTTCGCTCTCTGGCTTTGGCCTTATCACTAATTGACATTTACAAAGTGATTTATTTAGGCAACTGATAAACAGCAGCGACATTAATAGAGGGTCATGCTGATTGTTGTTCGTTGTAATTAAATTTCTATTTTCGGCTACCTATATACCGACACATTCGTACATAATTACCGAACCGTTGGCGACGCCATCAAGTTCCCCAACCAAAAAATAAAAAACAACATGCACGCAGAGTTCTCACAGTTGGTTTTCATTTGGCAGTGGAAACAAAAGGCAGAGGGCCACCCATGCGGAAAAGTTGCAAGCGGGCGTGTGGCGAAAACCGAAAAGAAAACTCGGATAATTTGCTCAGTGTCCAGTCCATAGTGATATAATTATCTAAATAAAATTTAATTAAATTAATGTTAATGTTAATTTGTTGTGTTTCGAATAATTTTACAAATAGGAGCAAGTATATAAAAACATAAAAAACTTAAAAAAGATACAAAAATACACATTTTTCTTCGTAAGTGGAATAGTAAATCATCCAAATATTTGTCTAAAACAGAATGCGGAAAATCGTGCAAGACGTGTGGGCGTCAAGGGCACTATAATTCCAAAGATAACTAGATGGATTTATAAAAGCTTTAAAGTGATTTATTTAGGAAATATAAAAATGTAATTTTGAAGAGACTTTCAAGATGATTGTCGCCTGTTCAAATATATATACCTTACTATATATGCAGTACGGTTAATTGTCAAATGCCCGTGGGCATGTCCGCCTGGGGCCAGTTCCCTTCGGATGGCACCTCTTCCTCCGATCGCGAACCACCCGAACACGCAATAGGAAAATGCCAGCCATTTTCGTTTTGTGTTGCTGTTTTATTTTTTTATTTTGGAATTTCTGGGGCTAGCGCCGGCCAAAGTTTACCTTAGGTCATAAATAAGCGCACTGTGTCATACGTAGTGCCCATGTGGGGCAATCACTGGTAGTCCATGTTTCACGGGGTGTGTGTGGAGCCCGGATTTGGATGGTTTTGTTTGGGGGTTTTTAGTTTTTCTTCTCTTTTATTTTTGGGTGTGTGCGTGCGGGGCGTTTTGTCATTAAGTTGAAACTGAAGCTTCAGTTTGGTTTTTTTCCTGCTGCTGGTCGCTGGCTGGTTACTAATTCGAACCCAGCGACATTTTTTATAGCCGCTCTCGTATTGTTTTTGTTATTATTTGTCTTACGTCATGCATTGCTAGTTGGTTGGCTTTTGTTTGTTAGATGTTTGACCTTTTTTTCAACCTCCAGTTAAATTCAATGCTGATGCCAAGATAAGCCGGCCATAATTTGTATTATATTTGCTGCAGTAATTTGCTGCAGCCATCAAACTGATAACACAGATTTGTGTTCATCTATTTTTGAAAGATGAGTCATTTGGTCAGCCCAAATATTATGTTTACTTATCAATTTGTTTGTGTTTCGCTTGACCTTCGGGCAAGGCTGTCGTATTTTACATTATTGATTTGCCTCTGAGGCTAAGTAGCATTAAAAGCTTAACAGTTTATAAATTGTATGTAAATCAGACCTTGGAGGCTGTGTGATTAGTTCAATTAGCTGGTGGTTTCTCTGAGATCTTGCAGATGGCAGATGGATGCCCCCATCTGCCTGACCTTCCTCCGATTGGGTTGAGTTTGTATTTTTTTTTTCTTCTTAGGGGGCGTAGATCACACGCAGAGTCAGTCAAATGTTTCGCTTTTTGCTCGGGGTGATGTAATTTGCCTAGACGACAAGCCAAAGCAACCGGTTTTGCCACAAACTACTTAAATCTCGTTTCTTGCCATCCGAGTTCTCTCGCCGGGCTGCGCAGCTGGAAAATATGATAACCGTCTGGCACTTTCCTTTTCCCTTTCTTTCCTTTCCAGTGTCCCATTGTCAATGTTGAGGAACAGTGCTCAATTTAAGTATCATCTCGCAAATTGCAATTCAGACAGCGAAAGAGTGGGCTTCTTCTGCTCGACACATGCGTTTTAGGTATTATCAAGCAATTTACTTGTCGAGTGGGTTTAATGCACTGTCTAGTGGTTGCATTAAGCCTACAGGAGGGGTCGCTTAAATAGCAGATATACAAGCAAGTCACTATCAACAAAGAACTAAAAATATTCAATTACTTATAAAAAATGAAATAAAATAAATTTAAAAATATTTTACCACATTTAAAAAACGAATCTTCTTTAAAATCGTTAGAAATCATGTTTATCTACCAAATATTTAAAATTATTATTAATTTATACATTTTAAATACTATTTTAACGGCTGCACTTGTTTATATCACATTTACCCCGGCAGGCTGCCTTTTCTCTTATCATAATCTCCAGCAAATAGTTTGCTGATGATTAAAGCTATGTGCCATTGACAATTTCGTTGACAGTTAATTTAAATTTATGTCTAGGGCAGGCACAATATATATTTCATTACTGTTTTGCTGCTGCCATTGTGTTCAATTACTCTGTTATTTTAGTTATGTTGTTGCCCCGGCTGCCTGGCTGCCGCTGTGCAATGGTGCGTATGTGTGTTATGAATGTCGACTGTGGCCTATTGCCTATTGACACTTGTTTATTTTTGACACCCCATTGTGACACGTATATATTTATATTTATATTTGTAATAGGGGGCTCTGAACGAGCTTTTCAAACGATTTTCAGCCTGTTGTGTTTGCCCGCCGATTATCATCGATGGGTGGCATCAAATGGTTTGATTGCTTTTTGATATGCCCACAAATTGGGCAGAGTAGCATCGCAGCATCATGTGTAATTTTCCACAGGGGGCATAAATAGTTTTTACAGCCTCTCTAATATCTTGTTGTTGTTTATGTGGTTTCAGTTGGTAGCCAACAAGTTGGTATTATTTACTGTTGGTGTCTGTGACTTTTGTGGTTGCGTGAGGTTTTAGTAATTCAATGTCTCTATATTTTGCTGTCTTCTCTTTTTATCTCAGAGAATGTTAGAAATTTTATTTGTATTAACTTGGTTTGTTTTTCTTTTTTCCAGAACCCATCGAGTCTAACATGAGCAACTGAGTCCCAACGAAACGAAGAGGAAATCGACGAGAAAGAACGAAACCCCCGAAAGGTGGCTTAATTACTGAGATTTTATATAGATAGTTTGTAGCAGCCCAAATCAAGAAAATGGGTTTCACAACGGAGCGCAAGCCGCGTGTCAACAAGACGTTGATATCGCTTAAGGTTGTCGTGTTCTTTGTCATCGCCGGTAAGTAATGAAATATAAATTACAGATATTTTTAGTTGGATAAAATTATAAAGTGTTATAAATGTTATAAATGATCTTAAAACTTGAAACCTTTTTATATTATTTAATTTATTATGAAATTTATTATAAATAAACTTAATTTAATATTGCAGGTCTCACAGCTTTGCATGTTCTGCATGGCGCAAAGCCCCAGTTGCTGGGCCTTAATTTCTCGGAGTACCGTACCATCACCATTTTGGCACCATTTGTGTCGATTTTGGGTCCCTTGATCGTGGGTCCCTGGGCTGATCGCTTGGCAGCCAAGAACCCGAACACTTTTGGACGCACTCTGCGAGTTTTGACTGCCGTATTTCTGCTGATCTCCGCCCTCATCTATGCCTTTCTGTTTGCCGTGCCGGAGGTTAACAGGCGGGGAGAAACTCGCGAGCCTCTGGTTAGCTTCGGGTGCGATGAGACTGGAGGATTCCTCTTCCAGGAGCGTTGCGGCTTGAACTCCAGTTGCAGCAGGTGGGACCAGAAGGTGGGTAAGATCAACTTGACGCGTTGCACCTACAGTTGCCAGAATCCCAAGCTCTACGAGCCACTTTACGTGGCCTGGTTGGCTGAGGTTCCCACCGTGGCCCCCTCCACGGAGCAGAGTTCGGAGTTCGATTACGAGGATGAGGGCAGCACCGCGGTCACCGAGAGTTTGCGCACCAGGAGGGATTTGGAGGCAGCGGATCCAGCCGATAGTGCTGGTGTGGAGGCCATCAGTGGAGAGGCCCCGGCCCCCGTCCACCGGTCCATCAGGCAGGTCAAGAAGCCCCCCACCAAGGTCTACGTCCAGCCCCCGCACGTCTGTCTCACGCAGCGCAACCAGAACGGCGAGGATGTGGTGAAGCACTGTCACGCCTACACCGAAGACACCACCAGCGTGGTGATGGATGCCCTCATGGGTTCGGCGATCAGTCAGGAGGAGCACTACGACGACTACGAGGGATGGTGCCAGTATCCATTGGGTGAGCATTTTTTAACTTTATACCAGGGACCGTAAATAATCATTATTTGAGATTTTTATTTTAAAAGGCCTACTGAGGTTTTCACAAGTTTTAATCAGCAATTTAACTGGTTTTTATGCACTTTATAGACATGAACAAATAACAGTTAATTTGCTTTCCAGATTTGTTGAAATGCATATACTTTGTGGACAAGAGTAAAAAGAACGTTATTTTTGACGTTTAAAACAAAATATCACAGTAGTCTTTTTAAAATAAAAATCTCAAATAATGATTATTTACGGTCCCTGCTTTATACACAGGAACCAAATTTGATATGATATGGGGCTTAATTCTACCTTATTTCATATCAACAAAACTTTTAAATTTAAAACATTTCAATATGATATTTTATCATATCAGTTATTTCATAAAAATTATAAATGTACTATTTAAAATACCAAATGTAGTATTTTTTAAGAAATAATACAAAATATGATAAATATTCTTTATTCATTTCAAAGTATTATGAATAACTTGATTTAAAAAAATAAAACAATTATTTGATACACATTCGCCTGATTTTTTGTAACATATATTTTATTGTGTAGAATAATTGCTATTTTGACAACTAAACATTTAATGTGTGGAATAGGTAAATTAACATAAACTAATTGAACATTTATTTAAAATGCTTATTAAATTAAACTAAAGTAAATTGTAATATCCATAATTCATTTTCCTATAATAACTTGTTGAATATTTTATTTTCAGAGGGATTCCAGTGCCACATTCCTGCTGCGCAGGTGACTTACATGAAGGACTTTAAGGACTATAAGAATAACGACAGCAATTGCAAGCCTATGATTGAGTGCCAGGTGGTGAATCCGTACCACGAGTCGAGTGTGCTCTCCGATAGCGAGTGTACCAATGTGAGTAGCTTATATTAAATCCCTGATTAATTAATAAATTAAATATTAAAATACCCAACAGACCACTGGCAGCTTGCAGGAAACCCTGGTGGGCTATACAACCATCCGGCTGATCGGAGACATTTTCCCCATGGCGGCACTGACTCTTCTGAACACTGCCATTGTGATCGCGGTTCGTGAGACCTCCGAGGGCAGGGGCGAGGTGTGTCGGCAGTACGTTTGGGGTGCCATTGGCTATGTGCTGCTCTTCGCACCGCTGAATCTCTCGGATTCCCAGAACGACCCCAATGATGTCGCCACCTTTGCTCTCATTGTATTTATTGTGAGCTTCGTCTTGGGTGCCGTGGTGCTGCTCTGTGCCACTCAGATGCCATTGAGTCCGCCGGAATGGTGGTGGCACACGAAGACCGGAATGCTGGTGCTTCCCATGTCTGCGATTCGTCGCTATAGTCCCGAGATATTCGTGCTCACCTTGGTCTCGATTCTTTTCGGCACTTTCTGGGGCAGCATTCACAGTTATGCCCAATGGACCTTCACCTTCAGCGCCGTTCGCTACTTGGGTCTGATCCTCATCCTGGTTCTTTTCTTCAATGTGGACAAGTTTATTGAGTACTGTGGTCACTCGAACATCTTCATCGGTGGCCTGGCCATCTATGTCATTAGGTTCACTGCGCTGAGTGATGCCCAAACTGAGTGGCTGAACGTCGTCATGGAGACCATCGAGCCGGTCGTAATAGGTCTGATTTGGATCACGATCATCCTGTATATGCGTCATGCTATGCCAAGGAAACTGACGGCCACTGGACAGGCCATCGCTGTGTTGGCCTTTTTCGGATTGGGTAAGTGTTTTTGAAGCAATTTTTGTTGAATTTATTTTAAAAGTGGAAGAAAAGATGAAGCAATTTTGAGCTATAAATTATTAGGATCAAGCCATTATAGAAGTCCAACTATAAAAATTAAATTAATAAAATATTAAAGTGAATTAAAATAAAAAGTAAATATTATTAAATGAAGTTAAATTTACTATTTGTTTGGGACACTACAATTGAGAAATTTATATAACTAATAGCTTTCAAATTAATATTAACGTAAATAAATTTAATTTGTATTTTTTATATAAATTCCCATAAAACTTATTTCTACATTTTTTTGTTTCTTTAGGCAAAGGCTTCGGAGCTCTGATTGGATTACCTCGCGATGAGAGGGACCCCAAGCTGGAGGTCTGGTCCTGCACCTTCCAATGGCTGGCAATTGTGGCCTGCGTTGTGGCTTTGGTATATTTCGCAATCTACAATCTGATCCTTGCCCCCCGCTGCACCGCCAAGCCCCAGCACTCCGAGGAGTTGATCTCTGGATCGGCATCCCAGAACTTTGGCAACACGGGAACCGGAAACGGAGCTGGCAACGGCAATGGAGCCGGAAATGGAAACGGAGCAGGAGCAGGAGCGTCACTCAACGGAAACGGAAATGGAAGCTACTCACCGCTGAGGGTTTACCACAACGAGAGGGGGAAGAAGGGACAGTTTAGATACTAAGATACTAGGTGCGAAATCCAGAGATTAATGGATTATTTACTCTTTGCATGGATCACTAATGCTGCGCCTCTCGCTTCAAAAAAAGAGTGCGAATGATATTCTTAGGTTTTAAATGTGTACACCACGCCTCGTCCTCCTCCACCTACCGCCCCCCGCCCGCTTGAGGGCAACACTGCTAATAGTTTGTAATGCCTATTTTTGCTAAGTGTATACACCAGGAGGAAGAACAACAAAAAAGAGTGGAAAAAAAGAAATCGAAAACAAAAACATGACCCTTTTTTATATACATAAATCGCATGTAGAACTTATTTTATTTGTTATTTAATGCCAACTAAGTGAGTTCATAATTTTAATTAAATCGCAATGGGGAAGGTGACAGGAAAAAAACAAACCAACTCATCAACTGCCCTAATTTAATTGCAACAATAGCCATGGATACAGAGCAAAAGCAATAATGACTTCCCCAGACAAACACGTCGTTCTCTTTACAACGTTACAGTAAAAATGAAGGCATCAATTTTTAATGAAACATTTGCGTGATTTTACTAAGCATAATATATGATGCACTACGAGCATATAAATGTAACAATAAAACAGAAAATGTAATTATACAAAAATATAATTAATGGTAATTAAATGTTTTCAAATTAAGCGTAATAACTGCTGAAGAGGTTTTTGTTTTGTTATGGGTTAAAAGCAGGAAATGAAAATGCCAAGCGGAAAATATAATGATGGTAAATGAGAAGGTAATTTGGCTCATAATCCGGGCAATAATCTCATGATCTCATCAACCTTATCAGGTTCCATTTCCTCTTTTGATGATGGAGCGCCATCTACATTTGGCTTTTTCTAAGAGGGGAAACCACGAGTTTTCTTAGACAACGACCTTCGGAAAAGCTGGGTAAGAATTTTTCTGGAGCTTTCCGCTGACAAGCTTTTCTTTTATCAAAAGCTATTGTCTTTAAATCCCACTTCTTGCTTAATTATTTACGTTTTTTTCCCGCCGCGATTTGCAATTTATGAGTCCAATGAATTGCATTTACTCAGTCCGTGACGTAGCGTAAATATTTTTCCAGCACTTGGCCAGCCAATATATGAGTCCTTGAGGGGGAGGATGGAGACAAGAGCTGCAGGATGGCGGCTCCTTGACCCCGAAGGATGTTGGCTGGCTGCTAATAGCCCCAAAACTTGAGAGCAGAAGGGCAGTCTCACTGTGAAAAGCATCATATTTGTCTTAAGATCAGTTTTAAGTAAATCAATAATGTTTAAAATTAAATATATTTTTACTATAATCACTAATTATAATAAAAATATTTTATTATTTCAGGTAGAAATAATAAAATTCTTAATATAAGGATCCAACTAAAATAAAATTTTGATTTATTAAAAAAGTATTGCTGGTTTTCTATTTAAATATTTTCTATTTATAGAGAAGTTTTATTAGTTTGAAACCTTAAGGAGAATATTTCACTAAAAATTAAAAAATTTTCCAAGTGACTCCAATTTTTCCTCGGTGCAGTCAGCCCCAAGGAAGAAAGCCAGTGACAGTGTCCACTTAACCGAAAGTAAGTAAACACACACTGGCGAACAATCGCACACACTCACACCCCCTTGGCTATTTACTTGTGTGTACATATTTAGTTGCATAAAAGGAGTAATAAGTGCGGATTTTATGATGCGACGCGACACAGACACACGCACACACACACAGTCTCAGGCTCAGCGTGACTCGATTGCCTTCCCCTTGAGTTCTCGACATGCGTCTGCCCTTTGACATTACACACACACACAAATGAGCGTAAGGACTCGCTGCATGTGTGTGTGGGTGTCAAAGTGACAATAAGCCACTTAAGGCAGCGCGCACTTCATTAGTTTTCTTTATTGATATTTTCACAGCAAGCCAAACAGTTATGAGTAGTTGCGAGCCAGCGATTTAAGCGTTCGACTTGTTCAGCGCCTGATTTTGATGATTCAATAAAAATGAAGCGCAAGTTGTTGCTTTAATTTAATGCCTGCTGCATTTAGTGGCGGTTCAACGATCTAATGGATTTTTAGAGACATCTATTAATAGAGGAGCATAAAGCAAAGTAGCTTAATGATAGTTTTCCAGGGAATATTTAGAAATAATAGTCAATTTATTCTTATGGAATTGAAATTCACTTTCGAGTGCAACAGTGCGTATGTGTTATTTGTTAAGCGCAGCTAAGCTAAGTGAAAAATGAACGTTTCCCCTTTACAAATGATAACAACTTACGATTAAAAATTCTCGATTTAAATACTTTTTCGCTGTTCCACAGGGCGTATGTGTAATAAAGCTGCGCTTTGGGGTTTTTGAAACTGAGACGCAGACTTTAGGGGTTTTACTGTTGGGGCCTTTGGCCTGAACCCTGGTTCTTCTTTCGGTCTACCAAGCAGCACAAAATCTTGGCAATTAGGCAGTGACAGCGAAACAAAAGCCCCGACCGGGGGTTAGCGTGTGGGTCTGGATTGTCTCTTCGCCTGGCAGGGAAAGACAGAATTATTGTCACTTGGCACCTCGCAAAAGACAACAACGGAAACAATGTTGGTGGAGTTGGGGCAATTGGGAGGGCGAAAAACGAGATCTAGGGGGAGTTTTGCAAGCGCTTTGCCCTATGAAAAATTGCTGTCATTTGCACAGCATAAAAATAGGAATATGCTGGAGGGAGAGAGAATAGGATGGGGGGTGCCGAAGGACGAGGGAAAGGATGCACACACCACACACAGAGAGACTGCTAACCATAAGTTAACGGAAATCCACAGAACCACATGGCCACATCCACATGCAGGCGACATGGGCGGGCTGCAAAGCACTTGTGAAAAATAACTTTGCACATCGTTGAATTTGGTGTGCAATTTTCCCACCACCAACTCCACATCCACATCTCCATCTTCGTTCTTCGTCCTTTTACTTTTAATTTTGTTTGTAAAGAAAACTCATTTTCATCATTCTGGAGCTGCAACTGCGCTTGTCTTTTGTGCGCGCGCGGAGCGGTAAAAAAGTGCGCTTCATGTAATTATTTTGATCATTTGCATTTGAGCAGCAGGAGTAACCGCCGCAGAACAGACATTGAAAGGGAGACCCGGCCCTTTAAGGATTTAACTGTGATCCCACACAGGACACCCAGACCCGGACCAACCCCATCATCATCATCATCATCATCAGCAGGGCGGTGGCAATTTATGAGCTTGCCTCTTGCAGTTTGCACGTGTGAAAATTGTTTTGCCCGAGTTGGTTTTTGGCTTGCCATGGTAACGAACGCACCCCGAGGCAACCGACGAAAGCCCCATGCTAACCACTCCTTTGTCTGCCCCAACATTTATTACTGTCGCATATTGTGTCACAATTTCAGCGCACAAATCTGCACGAATGCACAATTTAATTTTTATGAAATTCTCTACTTTTTCGGCTTCATGCATAAACATTCCCTCTGATTTGTGCTGATGTTTACCCACGGCGGTCCATCTACAGATCCGAGTTCCCTGACGCGTGACCCATGGACTCTTGAGCTTGAGCGATAAAAACCTGCCAATTGGATGAAAAATTCGCATCCATTTCAATGCTAATTTGTTATATTGTGGGCATATTTTTTGTTCGTTTGCTTTGTAGGCGTAAATAAATGAATTTTATTGCATACATTTTGGGGGGAACAGAACAGAGAACCGTTTTTTTCTTTCTTCGCAATTTATTCATTCCGAAAGTTGGCGCTCTCAAGCGAAACGGTGAAAGTCGGCCTTATATAATTGAAATATGGCCAGAGGTGTCGCCTCACTGAATGAGTAATACTTTTCAGGCGCTGCACTTGAAAGATATATCATCTTAAACAGAAAAAAAATGTAGACCTATTTTTCTTGAACTGGGAACATTTGTTCTTTAGCACAAATTATCTAAAAATTTGTAGGAACATTATCGACTCAGATAAGAACGAAAAATAATGAAATTAAAGGTATTTAAAATAAGGCTTTTAAATAATACTTTCTACATTTTTTATTTAGTTTTCTATTTTAAATCTCCCTTTTCTTTGCGTGCTAGCAATAAATTAATTCATTCTCAGCGGCAATCAGTTTGACTGAGTGGCTCTTGAAAATATTGTTCAACTCTGGAGTGGATGTGATTATCGCAGACCGAAAACACATGGCTGCTCATATCAAAGTTATGCAAATTCCAGCCCCCCATCTAGCCCACAAAGTTCTTTGAAATAAATTGGATTAAGCCTAGGTTGCTGCTGTTGGTACAGTTTGTTTTTTGGCCCACTATATTCGGGCTATCATTTACTCGTACTCGGGGGTTCGAGGGCTTTTCATTAGATCCGCCCGCCTGACAGGCGCCTACAAAAAAGCCGGATGCCCTTTTGTTTTTAGGCGCAAAACTTTGCTAATTACTGTGAAAATTTTCCCCAGCGTGCGACTTTTTTGTTTCTTCGAAGGTGGGGACATTCCGACCCTACGGCCTCAAGCCATTAAATGTGTGAGTTCAATTCAAGGTGTTGACTTTTTAATTGTATGTGAGGTGAGGGTGACAGGATGGGTGAAAAAAAAAAGAGAAGGAAGGCTGCGACGGGCACAATGGGCTGAGATGGCTTTAATTTTCCCCCGTTTGTGCAGTTAATGAGAAGACCTCGCCTTTTGTCCCGGCCGCTTGCAATTAACGCTTTCATAAATTACAAAATTCATTTTGAGTATCGCCACGGTCCGTCCTTGATATGTATACGTACATGCGAGAAACTTAACATTTTTAATTGGCCATCCGCAAGGGAACCTGGGCGTGGACTTCATTGTCTGCATCGAGCTGCTGTCTGCATAATTAAACTTGTAAAACTTTATGCCAGCCACATGCGGAAAATATTAAATAACTTAAACCGAGTTCCGGTGAGTGAAATCTGTCTTGCCAAAATTTCATTCACCTGGGGTTTTTCATATATGATAATAAAAATTATAATACATTTATTATAAATAGTTTACACATTATTTGTATATTTTATTTAAACTAGTTTTATAGGTGTCTAAAAAAATGATTTAATTTTCCAATTGGAGAGTACATTTTATAAAGTGAACACGTCAAATAAACTTTTATAAGTTCTTTAAATTTATAGGTGTTGGAATAATATGAAGTTTATTTCCTTACCCAAATATTTCCGATCAATATCAGATTAAAATCTCGACCTATACACTATTAAGTTAATTTATTTAAAATCTTTTTAAATAGCTTAACGAAATTTAAAACATTTCAATTGTGCCCGGTCAGCAGCCCCACACGCACACACGTTCAAAGGGGGCGTGGCTCCCGCCTCTTTATTAGCCGCCGTCTTGAGCTTCCAAAGTTTTTCGCTTGCCAGCGCAGTTTTCATCATCAAAGGATAAGCGTCCCTGTTGGTGGAGGCGGGAGGCAAGGGGCGGAGATCGGAAAGTGGTAGCAGGGGGCGTGGCCAGTACGTCGCTTGCATTCAAAAGCGCACAAATCGCATTTTCTTGAGAGAAAATGTTGCTTCATTTGTGCAGCGCGGCGGTTTGTATAGAAAAATGTTTGAAAGGATTTCTCTTTCAGTTTCGCCTCGCTGCAGCTCGGTGTGCGTAGGTAGAGCAGTCAAGAAGCATCTGGGGGAAAGGAAAATAGGAATAAAGGACGAAGGCAGTCTTCCAAATTGCATGTGC